TCGTTGAGCTACCAGGTGCAGAAAGGACCCCCTTGCTTTCTAAACTCCTTCTCAGAGAGGAGCCTGGGTGTGGCTGGATCCAATCTCAGCCTCAGATTACATCTCAACGGTTTGAATTTAAGGAATTATAGAGGTGTGATTGAACTACTTTGTCCCACAGGTTTTAATGATGGAAAATCAGATATATTTATATAAAATGAATTATTTATTATGACAAATGAACAGGCAAATAAACAGAAAAATGATCTTAATCAGAATTATTTACTACACAGTATAAAAGCTAAAAACTACTAGTAGTATACTTAGTGTAAGATAGTGTCATTGTCGGGATGAGCACCACACTGGGATTTCACACAGGAAAGCCTTTATTTCATACAAACATGGCCAATTTATAGTCTCCCCTAGCCAGCGTGTTTCACCACCATGGGTGCCCTTACTACATACACATCTTAAGATTGGCTGCTTTATAGCTTCTGCAACTCAGGGTGACTCAGCAAACAGTCCAGGCTCTCTGGCTACCACAGCTGCCCCGCAGCTCCATCCTCCCTGTCCAGCTTCTCATCTTCATTGTTAACATTCCTTCACAACTTCACAGCTGCAACCACTCAAATTCAGGGCCCAAGCTGTCCACAGCTCTCAATTGCCTCCCACAGTATAGTGCACTATGGCAAAGCAATTATATTAAAGCAATTGTATCAAAGCTAGCTGTCTTGGTTTATAGACAGTGTGTCCCAGGAGGCGAGACCTCCGATGGAATAGAAACCTCTCTCTCCAAATTACAAAAATTTGAAATTATGAGGCGTTCGAGTAAACTGTAGAAACGAATAAGTTTTACCAAAAATGGAGAACAAAACAACAACCAAACAATAACAGAGAAAATGTCACCCAAAAATCACTCTTTCACCTCTGCACCACCAAGGCAGCAATGCAGTCTTGATGCGGTCACGTGGTTCCACTGTAGCCTGGGCAGAAATGTGGCCGTGCGAGCAACAACAATGGTGGTGGGGCAACTGCCACATGGAAGCGACAACAGTGGCGGTGGTGGTGGGAAGCTGGCAACTGCGATGGCGATTGGGCAACTGGCAAAGGCAGTGGCTGCACTGGTGGTCGAAAAGTGGTGGCAGTTGAAAGGCAGCAGCAGTTGGGCAGCTGGCAGAAGTGGTGGCTACGCCGGCGGTCAGAGGGCAACAGTGGCTGTGCCGGCAGTCGAAAAGTGGCAGAAGTGATGGCTGTGCTGGCAGGGGAAGCACTGGTATGCGGATCAGCGCTCGTGCCTGGAGCATGGGACGGGTGCCTCGACTTGGGCGACTGGCAGCGAAAGTGCAGGGGTGACGTCAGTCAGGGACCTCCCAGGTTCCGTCCCAGAAGCGAGAGAGCGAAAGTGGAACTGCTGGCCCTTTTTATTCCCCCCAGTTCCTGCAGGATTTTGTTCCAGGGATCCTGCCTCAGTTCTTGTGGGAACCTCCATCTTCTCCCCCTGCTCCTCCGTGGCCGGCACCCCAGTGTGGTGGCATGGAAAAATTCAGTAAGAAAATCTAAACCACAACACTAGCAAAAAGAAACAATCATTAAGTAAAGATAGTTGTAACTCACCACACAACGATCGTGGGCAGATCTCTCTCCTTCACTTAAGCCCTGCGGATTGACCATGAAGAGCTGTTCCTGCTTCATGGGAGAAGCTCCACACGCTTCAGAAAAGTATGTGGAAGAATCTGCCATATAAAAGTTGGACTGGGCTTTTATATTTATAAAATGTTTGATTGCCAGTTACATATCTCCAGGCCAACCAGCAGCTTATCTGTCAAATCGTGCTTAAAAAAGCGGATGTGTGTTTGCAGTTTGGTGAACCAGACTGGTTTTTAGCATAATTCAACACTAAAAGCAATACCATGGCACCACTGGTAACTCACCACAGACAACTTGCATTGTTTGCATTTCTCTGGCCGGATTTTAGGCCCAAAGCAAATAAGACCTATCAAGGCAGAGGATCCTGCTACACCTGCCAAACCTTCATTTCTGCCATTTTGGCATTTTTCAGGTAGTGCTTTGCCTTGAGATGGCAGTTGGGGGTGGGAGTGGGGTGGTTGGTTTTTTTGCATAGGTGCTAACTTTTGCTGTTGGCGGAACATTTCTGATGTTATAATCCCATTTATTTCTGATCATGGGATGCCGGTTTGTATGAAATCATTCCACATTTGTTTCATCATCATCTGTGATGTAACTCCTTTTGGTTTTGCTGGCTTTCCTTTATTCACCACCTGCACAGATCGTCCCAAAGTTACAGCCCCAATTTCCCTCAAGGTATTTGCTAGGGCACCTACATCACCCATAGCATTTGTGACTGCTGATCTAATCAAGGGTTTTAGTGAGGCAGGCGCCTCTCTCAAAAGCTGTATTTTGATACTTCTTGTTACTGCTACCCTGTGTGGCCTTCCACCCTTAAGGGGAAGGGAGTAACCAAGATTCGTAAATGCTCATGATTGAAAGGAACAACAAAAGTCAGAGGGATTGCAAAAACTCACAAAGTTTTCTTAGTAAATTACACACTTGGCATGGAAATTGGTATGTCAGGAAGAGATGAATTAAAGAGGATGAGAGAGAAAGAAAGAGAGAAAAAGATCACCAGTCCTAGTTCCAGTGTTGATCCAAGTGATGGGATATCCAGGCCCCTGGGGGCATCCCCCAGGCTTAGGGGGGGTACCTTTTTATGGATAGATTTCCCTGCCCCAAAGACAGGTTTCTCTCTTTCTACGTAAATTAGTCCACATGCACAATCCATTCTTTCAGGCCTTTCTGGAAATGGGTCGGAGGCTTCAGGGGTTTTTGGTGGTCTTGATTCCCCCCCCATGCCCACTCCTTGACCTCATTCCTGCACTTGCACTCTACTGTGTTGTGCTTATCTCCATGAACTAGAACAAGGATGTTTGTTCCAGAAAAGTGCTGCCCTACCTCTGCATGGCCCCTTCTCCAACCACATCTTGTTCTTTCTCACAGCGTGTTATTAACAAGAATCCTTGGTTATTACCAACAATCCTTGGTTGGCTCTACAGCCATCTGGCTATTGGTGTTTGAGACATACACATTAGCCCCTTATCTTTTGGGATTCTACACCCTGTCGGGATTGAATTCTGTAATCAACACACAAGCCATTGCTGTTATCAGAATGCTCCCAGGCACAGCAGAGTGAGGTAATGAGCAGCATAGCACTACAGGAGCAGTGAAAGCGAAAAGTGACCACTAACGAGTACTAGACTCTAATATATAGTCAGGTAAGCAAGCCCACTGCAAGCGCAGGAACCTGCTCATGACTAGCTAAACTGCAATAACAGCTATAAATTCTGTCTAGTACATCCCAATCAAATCTGTCATTATCTTGAACCCCTTATGCCCTTACAATGGGTGCCAAAAAGGGCTGTTGTGGTGGAGCTACTTTTATAATTTTAACATGTTATTAAACATTAATCCTATTAATATTTCATCAAATAAAATTAGCTTGAAGGGCTAATAATCTACCTTATTGCTCTATTTCTATAATACCCCTCTGTCTACCTTATTTGGTTTAAGTTGGGTGTTCTTTTAGGCTGCTTTGTAGTTATTGATCATGTGAAGAGTAAACACCTGTGAACATCACTTTTTCTAAAGAGTAGTGGGAGAAATCATCTTATGGTAAAATGCAGCATCATTCTGCATACTGACAAGCAGCAGATCAAGGAGGGAATCTTTCTGAGTCGGCTCCCTTAGGACCTGTTCCATAAAGTTGTCATTCAGATTTTTTAGGAATCTTCTGATCTGGGTTGTACCAGCTGTGTGATGCTCCCAGTTAATTTCTGGGAAGTTGAAGTCCCCCATAAGGACAAGGACAGTTGATTTGGTGGTATCCCTTAGTTCCTCAAAGAATAATTCATCAACGTTGTCATCCTGGCTGGGAGGTCTATAGCAGACTCCCACGGTAACATCTGCATTATTTGTTTGCCCCTTGATTCTTACCCAGAGGCTCCCAACTGTGCCGTTGCCAACTGTGAGCTCCAGACATTCTAACCCTTCTATTACATAGTGTCACCCCTCTGCCTCTTCTGCCCTGCCCATCCCTCCTGAAGAGCCTGTAACCATCCAACAGGGCACTCCAGTCACAGGTCTCATCCCACCAGGTTTTACTTATGCCAATTACACCAAATCTCTGTGACTGGGCCAAAGCTTTGAACTCCTCTTGTTTGTTCCTCACGCTGTGGCATTAGTGTAGAAACATTTCAGGCGTGATCCATTGTAGACAACACCTCTTGAGGCAGATTGAGGGATTCCATATATGCTGGTTTCTTCAAGTTTTGGCACACCATCCCATCGCTTATCACCAGCAAGCCTGATTTTGTCCCTTTCCCCCTTCCAAGCCAGTTTAAAGCTCTATCAACGAACCCTGCTGACTCCTGTGCTAGAACTTTTTCCCCTCTGAAATAGGTGCATCCTATCAGGTGTCTGTAGACCAGACGTTGAGTAGATCATCCCATGGTCAAAAAACCCCAAATATTTTTGATTACACCAACCTCCGAGCCACTCATTGACCTGATGGATCTGTCTATTCTTATCAATATTATTCTGTGTTACTGAAAGGGTCAAGGAAATCACTACCTGTGCTCCTGATCCCTCTACCAATCGTTCCAGGGCCCTGAAGTCTTTTTTGCTTGCCCTTGGACTTCTCTTTATTATTTTGTCACTGCCAGTTTGAGAACCAATAACAGATAGTAATCAGAGGGCCTTAATAGACTGGAGAGTTTTCCAGTAATGTCCCTTACCCAAGCCCCTGGGAGACATAGTCATGCTGCAAGACTTCTGAGGGTTAGATTTAAGGTTTGTTCCTACATATCCAGTTCATCTTCTAATGATAGAATTGTGGGAGAAATTAGAGTAGAAGAAATGACATGCCATCTGGTTTTCTACCAGATAATGGGGATAATGTGGAATTCTTACATCTTAACTATGGTATTTCTTGACCTTGTTTCTTGCAGTTGGTAAACATGAATTAACTGGGCATAAAGTTGCAGTGAAGATCCTAAATCGACAGAAGATTCGCAGCCTTGATGTTGTAGGAAAAATCCGCAGGGAGATCCAGAACCTCAAACTCTTCAGACATCCTCATATAATTAAGCTGTAAGTTTTGCTTGCTATAATCAAATCTATTTAAACAGTAATCCCTTGCTCTCACTGATCTGAAACATGTTTAAAGAGCAATGTTATTAGCAGTATATTTTTAGGAAAGTAACCAGTTTTCAACTATGTAACCATTTTTGGTGTACTTTGTAATGGATTTTCACAAAACTGATTTTTCTGCAGGGCAGAGGTCTTCCATTAGATCTTGACTTACAAATTCTTTGGGCAGGTATATAGAAGGTAGCAGCTTATAGTAACATCCATCTCAGTTTTTTTAGCTGCTGCTTCCATTTTCTTTTTTCTGGTTATGTTTGATCTTTCTTTCTGCTTAGAAACTGACTTCAGAACAAGATTGTAAAGGGTAGTTCTATAGTAAATTTATTGTATTTTCTTTACTCAAAATATTTTTAGTGATGTGTTGGTCAGTGCCCTGTTTTTCCTATGTAGATGATGCTCTGCAAGGTTTTTCTGAAAGATGTGCAGTCTGTTAAATGCAATCTCATATTTCAGAGGTCTTCAATATAGTTGTTACCGCTTAACTAAATAAATCTGATATTTACAGTGTACCTATTTACATCTGTTTGATCAGTAGCTCATCAGCAGAGTTTAGAGTACAATTAAATATGTCCCAGAGTAGACGCCTTGTATCTGGTCTGAGGAAATAAACTATAAATGCTATTGACTTTTTTACTTTTCCTATAAAGTCAACCTGCACATCTAGCAGGGCACATCTAGAATGTGGGTGACTTTCGCTGTTAATTGTGGTGTTGGAGTTTAGGTTTTCTTTATTGTCAGAGTCTTTTCTTAAGACCGTGCTTTCACTGACATATGCCATCCCTATGCACTCATTTGGCAACAGCATTTATACTGGAGCTAAATTGGATTGTGTCAGATCACACTGACTTCTTCAGTGGGTCAGTTTTCAGAAGACTATTGAGCTGATTTGTCTGGCTGCAGAGCTGCTAGTGCTGCCAGTTAGAATTCATGAATGAGTCCAAAGTACATACCTGTAGCTAAAACAAAATAGGAAGTATTAGCGTACCAATTGAGATATTTGGGGTGGAACAGGAATGTGTGCTTCTGGTGCTGCTGAACCTTTAAGTCAGCTTAACAGGTTTTAGGTTGCAATTTCTTTCTCGGGGAATTATGGGACGAATTTTCACTTCTGCATGTTGAGTGAAAGGACAAGATGAAGGAGATGATGGAAAAATTGATGGATCGCTAACTTTTTAGTTGTTCAGCCTACATTTCCAAAACAGAAGGGTTATTAACCTGAATGTAAATAGCATTTGAGTTATAATTGATACTGTTGTGTAGGTAGACTTGCTGGTGACTTTGGATCATGCTGCTTGTGCTATTAGCTGGATTGGGAAACTGCTAGGTAGCAACTCAAGATATTTGGCATAAAGGTAATCAGATTATTTCAGCTGAATATTACAAATTAGACAATGTCTAATTTGGAACATTGTGCTTTATTAAAATTTTCATACAATGCTTTAACAATATATACAGTTGCAAGTCTGTCTCAATAAGATTTTCTTTTTATACCATACTTTAAATAAAAACCTTTGGAGCATCTCCTTTTGTGGTTTTTGACCTCTAGCAATATAATGCATCTTATTTTCCTATATAAATTACCTCTTTGTGCATTCTGTTCATCTGTGCTGTGTGGTTTGATGACCTTACTTATATTATAGATATGTAACTATTTCACTACCTACTTTTCCATAACTAGAAAAATGAACTGACTATAGAGAAGCATGATTGAGTCTTCCAAGATGCTGAAAACATGAGGTGCAGAATGACTCGTTCTTTTCAGTGATGCTAAGAGGTTTATCTTCCAACATTGTTCATTATCTCACCATCCAGAGGATGGAAAATCACTGTGAAGATCTAAAATATAAACTGTTGCTCATGTTTGCCTGAAGCTTGGTGATTTCACAACTATGGGAAAGGTCATTAACAGTAAGGGTGTTAAAAATGAGGTTGCACTGTAACTTTTGGATTATTTCTGTAGTGTCTTAGTGACAACTTCAGAATGTTCATGTCTAAATACATGACATACTTTCAACCAAGGTATTTGAGAGAAAATTAGTAAAGGTAAAGCATCTTGGACTATAAGATGTTAGGTAAAGTTAACTTTGAAAATAACCTGAATACTATTCTGAGGCAGTTACACTACGATACTAAGCTGTTTAAATAGATACATACACACACATATATATGTGCACACATACATTCACCTGAATAGACTGAACTCATTGCTGTCAAGAAAAACTTGTCTTTGTAAGCTAGTGTCTTTTTTTCCCCCTTGTCTTAAGAATCAACATTTTGAAGAACATTTCAGTTCTGTAGTGTGTGTGAATTCAATTATTTTTTTACGATTGGGATATTTGTATGCTTAAGTGTAGTACCTTGGAACATTCATTTTCATCCAATTGCTACCTCCTGTCTTCTTAATATAGTATCTGAATTTTTGACTGAAGGTTTACCAGTGTGCATTTTCTTGTTATGTTAAAAATTGATCACTTCTGACTGCTGTAAGGGGGGAAAAATTAAACAACCTTTAGGTAAGGATATGTAAAAAACATATCAATCTCTTAAGTGGGGAGTTTGAACATAACCTAGTTTTTTCAAAACCTCAAAACTAACCTTAAAGTATAGTGATAAAAATATAATAACCAGGGTGTTAATACTCTTAAATACTAATGACAAATTTAGGTCTCTTTGTAAAAGATAATTGCTCATCATCATGAATATTTTTTCAGTTCTTGAAGCACACTTTTTTTATTTATGACAAGGCAAGGTTTTTTTGCTTGTTGAAGGGGGTGTGCTTTTGAGACACTAGCAAAGTCCTTTTGAATTCCTTCCTCACTGCACTAAAATGTCTGTGAGGCAGTACTGTATATGGCTTCACAGAAACAATTTGGACTGAGAATAGTCCTCTGAAAGTACAAAGACCCATCTTCCTGGTGGGAAATACAAATTCCCTGCTAGTCTTGGCAATGATGGCATCACATAGTAAAAGGAGAGGAAATAGCTTCTGAAAAATATTATCATTCCAGTAGCTGTAAATGAGCTGTTAATTTTTTTTAAATATACTTTTATCTGACTCTTTGCACAACTTTGCTTTTAACTAAATGTAACTAGCTACTTTAACTGAGTGCACAGACTAACAGATACTTATTCTTATCAGGTACCAGGTCATCAGTACACCAACTGACATTTTCATGGTGATGGAATATGTTTCAGGAGGAGAACTGTTTGATTATATCTGTAAAAATGGAAGGGTAAGAAGTAGTCCAACTCTACAAATCAATGACTTGCATTCTGTTATTGCTTTTGCAACCTTCCTGTTAAATGAAGGTTTGTTTCTTATGTATTCAGCATTAATTTTGCGGTTAGCAATTAAAATATACTTTATGACTACATCTTGTTTTGAAACTAAAAACAGTTCTATGTTAACATGTTTCAGATCTTTATGTATGATTTTGTAGCATTTTTCCACTCTACTGAAAAATAAATGATACTGATATGTTAATTTACAATTACTGTGTACAAACTGGATTTGTGACAGGTACAAACAAAATGATGTAAGCTATGAAGCTTTCTGCTATAAGTACTGATCATCTGCTGTATAAAGTATCAAAACTATAAATGATAACTTTCAGTCATGGGAAGGTTTCCTTTAATTCATATAGAGGAAAACCAAGTTATCCCTCCACTGTCTCAAAATTGTTTAAAACCTTTGTTTGTCTTAGCTTGATGAGAAGGAAAGTAGACGTCTGTTCCAACAAATCCTTTCTGGTGTGGATTACTGTCACAGGCATATGGTAGTACATAGAGATCTGAAGCCTGAAAATGTGCTGCTTGATGCACACATGAATGCCAAGATAGCTGACTTTGGTAAGCATTGCTATTTTATATCTGATCACATTTCTGTTTTTATTTAGATCCTGTTAATTACTATGGGAAATAATAAAGTGTGTATATTTGAATATCCTGGTGGTAGGACATAATACAAGAAAATCTCAATGTAAACCAAAATTATGTTCTTGCACGTGTCAAATTTATTTTCCTTTAAAACTTTCTCTTCAAGTCGGGTATTTTCTGTGACTGGGTGAAGTTGTGAACTGTCTTGTTTGGTCTTGCTTAATATTTTCTCAAATAATTCTAAATAGACTTAGTTCCCCACCTTGCTACTTCAAAACTGACTCTCATATTGTCTGTTTCTTTATCTGTAAAATGCAGATGCTTAGCTCTCTTGTAAGTACAGTGCAAGGAAAGTTCATCATATTTAAGAGCCACATTGCTCTAGTAAAATACACTACTTCTCATGAGAAACTGCTCTAAATTCACTTTGAAAACTCAAAAGATGTGATTGAAAAGTGTAATTAAAACATAAAAGGTAACATAACAATTTTGCAAACTCCTGTGCTTTTAGCTATATAGCTGCCTAACTAATGAGAAAGCTTAATTGTTTATACTAGCTGTTTAACACAGCTACTGCAAAGACTGGTAGCTAGTTCTTCGAACTGTCTGAATCGGGAAACCTGACCATATAAGCATAGTAAGGTATTCATACTCTTGTAGGTATAGTAGAAAATACTTGCCCTTGTAAAGCACTTGGAGGTCTCTGAAAGATGCTAGGTAATGCTGAGTCTTCTAAATATATTTTAAAAGGATAGTGTTCAAGTATATGAGTGCAAGTATGAAAACTAGCCAAACTGTGTTCTTTCGTATTCTTCCCCCCCAGTAAAAGGGCATAATTTCTGTCTGAGTTCTCTGACCTGTACTGATTTTGATTATGCAGCCCTCACGGAGGAAACTAGAAGATATTTTCCACAGCTATTCTAGAAGTGGTAATTCTTTACTGATCATAGGATATGCTAAAGGCTGGTGGATGAGGATGGCCTAGTTCTAAAGGCTATACTTACACTATAGCTTGATTTTTAAACTGCAGTGTTTCAAAAACCTGTTGAAGCAGTGTCGGTGTCTAAATTGTGGTGAAGCTGTATGCACTCCTCAGTTCCCTTATTCTATATAACCTCTTAAACAATTTTAGACAATTCTGTGGTAGCATCTTCCACTTTGGCATTTAGAAGTGAATATGGTTTTTAAGACGCTTTCTTGTTAATGACCAAAATCCTATGTTGCTATGCTCCTCTCTCCCTTAGAGCAGCTTTGTTCTCTATCATGCTTGTGTAATCGAGAATGGGTTGGTTTTTGTCTTGGAATTAATATGTTTTAGAACATTCCTAGGTTGTGTGCAATAACGGATTGATGTTACTCAAGTTTCTGGTAAACTAAATGCACGATCATGTAGCATTCTCATATAAAAATCTCAATAATTCCAAACAATGCTGCCTTCTTACTGAGATAAATTAGTTAACTTTCTAATTTGAATTACTAGTAATTTGTTCTAGGTGGTATATGCAGTGTGAATTACTTTGCTCTCTGAATCTTTAGTAGTTACTCTTATATACTTTCAGGTCTATCAAATATGATGTCAGATGGAGAATTTTTAAGAACAAGCTGTGGTTCCCCTAACTATGCTGCACCAGAAGTAATTTCAGGAAGGTAGTTTCTTTTCTATTGGATGCATATGTGCACGTACTTCAGTCATTTTGCTGCTTAATTCTAAAGGCTTCAAAACTAGTGCAATTCACAAGCTTGATGCTAAGAAACTGTGGACTGAACTCTTAATTGCCTTGATAATTTTTCATAAACATTTAGAACTTCAATGAACTATCTTTGAATAGTTTTTGTAAGGTGGAGGTCGTGTGTGATGTCCCAAATCCAGTGTGTGCAGTGTGCCTGAATTGGTTTAAAAATCTCATTTACAGCTCAGATCTTGGAAGTAGAGGTATAGATAGAAATACAGGCAAAGTCTACTGTGAAGTTGAGTAGCAGTGAAATATCTGCTGCAGAATAGATATTCAGTCTGAATTTATTCAGTGATACTGCTTTATGCTACCCACTCTAATATCTCTTGCTAATTGGAGGCCAAATGTATGTTTTATTCAGGCAGTAGCATAGAAGATGTGACAAGTTTTGCTATATGGACTTGTCTTAAACAGCCTCCAAGACTTGGAGGCTAGATGACTACATAGATTGTACTCAAACAGTGATAGTATAACATGAGCTTTCTTGGTAGCAGGTGCAAGTTTCTTTCAGTTTGCCATTGTCTTAAATTGTATCTGTGGATTATTTTTATACAATAGAGAGAAAAACTAAGTACTTCTGCCCTAGCTCTTGTTACATATTTGAAGGGGAAGGACACTAGAGTTCAAAGCATAGCACTGAAATGGTATAGTAATTGCAGATAAGTTGTCCAAAGTTCACACACTCTTAATTAACGCGATACAATGTAAGAATGTAGAAAAAAAAACCTAATTAAATGTGTTAAGCACAAATTGCTAATAGTTACCTTTTTCCCAGATTATATGCAGGTCCAGAAGTAGATATTTGGAGCAGTGGGGTTATTCTCTATGCCTTGTTATGTGGAACACTTCCATTTGATGATGATCATGTGCCGACCCTTTTTAAGAAGATATGTGATGGTATCTTTTATACCCCTCAATACCTGAATCCATCTGTATCTAGTCTTCTGAAACACATGCTGCAAGTAGATCCAATGAAGAGAGCAACAATCAGAAACATTAGGTAAAACATTAACTGATGTCTGATCACAGGATACTGGAATGGTAATTTTAGTGAAAATATGCAGAACAAAGAAATCATTCATATAGCTTGTCCCTGTTTTATAGTCTAAGATGAAAAATTCAACTTCTGGTTGTTTGACTTTAGCTCTGGCTCTGATCTCCTGTGACCAATGTAGTATCTATTGGAGGTCACAGTAAAACAAATATATATGTTACATATAAACATTCTGAGAAATTCTAGATTTAAGACTGCTAAAGCAAGCCTGTTTACCTGCAGAATGGTTTGCAAAAACTGTATTGACTTCTCTGGGCAAGAAAATTATTTGCTGTTAAGAACTGCTGCTTTGTACTGTAAATGTCTGAGGAGAAGTTATGACTCTTTAACCTGATAACTATCACTTTTATTCATATTTCTGCAGACTCAGCAAAATAATCTGAGACTGAATATTCCATGTATAAGATGGCATTCTATTCTAGCTTCAAAACCCTGACATGAACCTGTGCATGAGTGACAATTAGTATGTAGAAAACTGACAAGTTTAAGCTTGTAGCTACAGAAAACCATCATGGACTCCAGATTTCAAGATAGGATTCTGGAGGGGGTGACCACTTTGACAAATGCACAGTGGGTAGAATTAAAAAAAACAGGTAGCTTATAAAGCTGTCCTTCATGCAGTAGCATAGTTAGGTTTTCCTGTTTTCTTTGTAAGAAACTCTAAGGAGAGAACTCTGAAATACTACCTTAGTGAAAATGCTTCCTCTTTTAGGGTTCGAAGTTAGCAAGTTAGCAATGTTCATGTTCTTTCAGTAAAATAAAAAATGTGTTACATATATCCCTTACTACTTTATTACAATGGGAAGTACTTTCATAGAATCATAGAATGTTAAAGGGTTAGAAGGGACCTTAAAGATCATCTAGTCCCAACCCCCCTGCCATGGGCAGGGACACCTCCTACTAGACCAGGTTGCTCAAGGCCTTATCCAACCTGGCCTTGAGCACTGTCAGGGTTGGGGCACCCACCACCTCCCTGGGCAACCTGTTCCAGTGTCTCGCCACCCTCATAGTAAAGAATTTCTTCCTAATATATAACCTAAATTTCTCCTCTTTCAATTTGTACCCATTACTCCTTGTCCTGTCACTACAGTTCTTGATGAAGAGTCCCTCTCTGGCTACCCTGTAGGCCCCTTCAGATACTGGAAGGTTGCTATGAGGTCTCAGGCAGCCTTCTTTTCTCCAGTCTGAACAACCCCAACTCTCTCAGACTGTCTTCATAGGGGAGGTGCTCCAGTCCTCTTATCATCTTCGTGGTCTCCTATGGACTTATTCCAACAGTTCCATGTCCTTCTTATGTTGGGGGCACCAGAACTTTACGCAGTGCTCCAGGTGGAGTCTCACGTGAGTCCTTCTCCGCAGGGCTGTTCTCAATCCCTTCTCCACCCAACCTGTAGGTGTGTCTGGGATTGCCACACCCCAGGTGTAGGACCTTGCACTTGGCTTTGTTGAACTTCATGAGGTTTGCATCAGCCCACCTCTCAAGCCTGTCAAGTTCTCTCTGGATGGCCCATCCCTTCTCTCTAGCATGTCAACTGCACCACACAGCTTGGTGTCATCAGTGAACTTGCTGAGGGTGCCCTCGATCCCGCTGTCCATGTTGCTGACAAAGATGTTGAACAGTATTGACCCCAGTACCAACCCCTGAGGGACACCACTCATCACTGGTCTCCACATGGACAACAAGCCGTTGAGCACAACTCTTTACGTGCGGCCATCCAACCAGTTCTTTATCCACCAAGTGGTTCATCCATCAAATCCATGTCTCTCCAATTTGGAGACAAGGATGTTGTGCAGGACAGTGTCAAATGCTTTGCACAAGTCCAGGTAGACGATGTCAGTTGCTCTGCCCCATCCACCAGTGCTGTAGCCCCATCATAGAAGGTCACCAAATTTGTCAGGTATGATTTCCCCTTTGTAAAGCCATGTTGGCTGTTACCAATCACCTCTTTGTTTTCCATGTGCCTTAGCATAGTTTCCAGGAGAATGTGCTCCATGATCTTGCCTGGCACAGAGGTGACACTGACTGGTCTGTAGTTCCCTGGATCTTCCACTTTCCCCTTTCTAAAAATGGAGGTTATATTTCCCTTTTTCCAGTCCTCGGGAACTTCACCTGACTACCACCATTTTTCAAAAACAATGGATAGTGGCTTAGCAACTTCGTCTACCAGCTCCCTCAGGACCCGTGGATGGTTCTCATTGGGTCCCATGGACTTGGGAACATTCAGGTTCCTTAAATGGTCTTGAACCTGATACTCTCCTACAGTAGGCTCAGGGTCTTTATTCTCCTAGTCCCTGCATTTGCCTTTCCTGACTTGAGCAGTGTGGCTGGAGCACTTGCCGTTGAAGACTGAGGCATAGAAGTCATTGAGAAGACTGACAGAAATCAAAGCACTGAGAACTAAACACTGTAAAACTTAAGCTAAGTTCCTATCCACTCATCTAAGTCATGTTAAATAAGTCTGAAAGAGAAGTGATGTGAAAAAAGATGTTGAAAGTTGTTGACTACAGAGCATGGCTGGACTTTGAATCCTAAACAATTTTGTCCTGTTAACTATGAGACATCATCTCAGTTTAAAGGATAAACTTTTGAGTTTAATCGAATACCTTAATTTTTCTAGGGGTGTGTGTACACAAAGGAAGAGGCCCACTGCAACAAATAGTAACAAAATACTCATTTATTCAGCTAGAACTGTGCTTTATAGTCGTATGGGAAAAGTTTTTTTTTACTTCCAAATTAACTGCTTGCTTATGATGAAAGTACATTTTGCTCAATGCACTTGTGCTGAGGCATGTTCTCAGGCTCATACTGACTAGAGCTTGATCAATATAACTGCTCTTAAATCTGTAGCAAGTCATTATGCTATAGAGTAGGATACTTTTAAAATTAGCGTCATGCTATATCCTTTGACTAGTTAAGCAACTTACTCTAGGCACACAAAACTACTTTATTTTTTTTCTGTGTGATTGGGCAACCTAAGTATTTGGTCCCTTCTGTATATTTCCTTTTCCCTCTTAGCCCATGGATACACTAGTAAAGAGGTACAGATTGACTCTTCCATAGCTTTCCCTCTACTCTTTAAGGCTTGAAGAGAGAGCAGGGGGGTTTCTGAATGAAAAAATGATAGGCAACTTGTTGGGGGTAGAGAGTGTGGACTTCAATGTTCAAACATTACCAAAGAAACTATTCAGTGTCAAGATTTCTTTAATTTGTTATGTATGTACTTGGGGAGGGACAACTTGATTGGATAGCATACAGATTTCAGTTGAAAATATCTCAAAACTAAAATAGCAAAGTAGTAAAAAGAAAAACAAACCACAAACCCAATGCCAAAAGAACAACTATTTATATAAAAAGGTGGTTGACTTACACAAAGATATTATTGGAGATCAGGTAGTTGAAACCCTTAGAGGAAAGAGGCATTTTTCAGTCTCCTGCAAAATGTCTAGCAAAATCTTGTGAAGGAGATAATTACTTTTCATTATGTACTGTTGTGCTGCACAGAAGGGGACTTGGACTGACAACTGTTGATCTTTTTTGTATAGATGAAGAATAATTTTATTTTTTAAATTATTTAATACTAAAAAGGCTTACTGTACATATATATACTCAGACTTTTTTTTTAAATCTAGAGAACATGAATGGTTTAAGCAGGACCTTCCCAAATACCTGTTTCCTGAAGACCCCTCATATAGTTCTACCATGATTGATGATGAAGCCTTAAAAGAAGTGTGTGAGAAGTTTGAATGCACTGAAGAGGAAGTGCTAAGTTGTCTATACAGCCAAAATCATCAGGACCCTTTAGTGGTTGCTTATCACCTCATTATAGATAATAGAAGAATAATGAATGAGGCCAAAGACTTCTACTTGGCTACAAGCCCACTGGATTCTTTTCTTGATGATCACAATCTGTCTCGACCTCATCCTGAAAGAGTGCCATTCTTAGTAGCTGAAGCACCACGTCCCCGCCATACTCTTGATGAGTTGAATCCACAGAAGTCAAAACACCAAGGTGTAAGAAAAGCGAAGTGGCACTTGGGAATACGGAGTCAGAGTCGACCAAATGATATCATGGCTGAAGTTTGTCGAGCAATTAAACAACTGGATTATGAATGGAAGGTAAAGAATAAAGGGTCTTTACAGCAGACATCAGAAAATTTTTGAGCTGTGTAACTACATAGCCTAGAAGTCTGAAACTGCTCTCCTGTGCTGTGGAAGATAGTCCCGTGACTGTACTGACGGCTTGTGCTTGGCTGTGCAGGAAGGGTTTTGGGGGAGGCTATTTATGCTGACAGGAAAAATCTTGCTAATGTGTTTAACCTTTCTACTGGGGCTCTGGGAATGTGTTGAGTAGGATGTTTTATTTGGGGTTTTTTGGGTGTGTTTTTGTTGGTAAAAAAAAAAACAACTCTGACAGGTAAACCCGAAATCACTTGATAATACCAGTGAGTTGAAATAAGAAAAACAATGTGCAGTGCTTCTTAAGCAGTTCTAGTTACTAAGTCAAATCTCTCATGTACTAGGTTGTAAATCCATACTATTTGCGTGTTCGAAGGAAGAATCCAGTGACAAATGCATATTCCAAAATGAGTCTACAGTTGTATCAGGTGGACAGCAGGACATACTTACTGGACTTCCGTAGCATTGATGGTATGTAAGTCAATGGACTTGTAAGGGGAATAATTTTAAATGCAAACATGTCTTAACTTACTTGTTTATAAGTGATGTGTTGCCCTTTATTAATTTAAACCAAGCTAGATCTGCATTAATGTTTCTTTATTCCTTCCTGGTCTAGTGTTCCTATGATCAGATGGTTAGCTGTTTCATTCCTTAAATAATCACTTTTTAACTATATCAACTCCAGAACTGCTCCATTTTGTGTCTGCACCAGCACTAATACTGCTGATGCAAAAGGGGAAGGATTGTGGGAAGTAAGTTTTGGATCAACCTAAATTGGTTTTGCAGCCTCACCCCCAAATTTAAATGTTAATTTAGATCTTAAGTATGGGAACATGTTTTCCTAGTGAAGATAAAGCTTGGCATTTAGGCATGCAAATTTGACTTGAACTGTATGTTGCTGTACTGGGTCTGGCTGAGATGGAGCTAAATTTCTCCATAGCAGCTGGTATGGTGCTGTTTATTTTATCTGTGACTGTGTTTTTGATCTATGACTAAAACAGTGTTATGGCTATTGCTGACCAGTACTTGCATAGTAACTAGTCTTTCTGTTTTCTCACTGTGGTGCACCCAATGAGTAGGCTGGGGGTGAACAAGAAGTTGTGAGGGGACATAACCTGAAGAGCTGACCCGGCTTGATCAAAGTGGTATTCCATGCTATATGATGTCACGCTTAGCAAAAAATCTGAGTGGACGGGAGTTTGGGGAAGGTAACCATTGCTCAGAGACTGACTGTGCATTAGTCTGCTTGCAGGAGGTGGCAAGTAATTGCCTTTGCATCACTTTTTTTTTTTCTTTCTTCCTTCATCTTATTAAACTGTGTTTATCTCGCTCTATGAGTTTTCTTGCTTTTGTTCTTCCAATTCTCTTCCTCCATTGCACTAAGGTAGGGTGGAGTGAATGAAGGGCTGGCTGGGGGTTTAGCTGCCAACCAGGTCCAACCCATCAATGCTAGTAGTAGACAAAATTTGAGATGGGAATTGCATGCCTGCAGTAAGTGAAGTCTTGAAAGCAGTTGGACAGATCTGTAGAAAAAACTTTTATAGAGTGGCAGTAACACAGCATACAACTCTGTTGTGGTTTAAGCCCAGCTGGTAACTAAGGCCCACACAACCACTCCTTCACTTTCCCCAGGTAGAATAGGGGAGAGAATCAGAAGGGTAAAAGTGAGAAAACTCGTGGGTTGAGGAAAAAGACAGTTTAATAGTGAAAGCAAAAACCACATGTGCAAGCAAAGCAAAACAAGGAATTTGGTCACTACTTCCCATGGGCAGGGCAGTGTTCAACCATTTCCATCATGCATAACAGTTACTTGGGAAGACAAATGCCATCAACTCCAAACATCTCCCACTTTTTTCTTCTTCCCCCAGCTTTATATGCTGAGCATGACACCATATGGTCTGAAATATCCCTTTGGTCAGTTGGAGTCAGCTGTCCCAACTGTGTCCCCTTCCAACTCCTTGTGCACCCCCAGCCTCCTTGCTGGTGGGGCTATGTGAGGAGCAGAAAAAGCTTTGATACTGTGCAAGTCCTGCTCAGCAATAATAAAAACATCCCTGTGTTATCAGCACTGTTTCCAGCACAAATCCAAACCATAGCCCCATGCTAACTACTAGGAAGAAAATTAACTCTATCCCAGCCAAATCTGCAAGTCAGATACCTTCCTGAAAATGGAGGAGCAAATATAGACTGACCATAATGCTTGTTTAAGAGCATAGTAGACTAAAACAAATTATTTATAGCTAATGGTGTACATGATATGCCTAGGAAAGCATGTGGCATGGGAAAAGGATTCACTGGAATATGGCTGGATCATAGTATAGGATGGCTGAGGCTGAGTTTCGTGACAGTTTACCTGATCTGACTTGACACTGCAATACTTGCCTTGTCCCTTCTGACAATACAAGTGCTTGCTTAGATCTAGTAGTATTTGATACAGGGGATTAATCACTTTCCTACACTAACCTCTACTGTAGTATAAGATGAACGCCATTCCTGTTGGAGGGGAGGTGACTGCTTAAGAGCCATGAAGCTGGAGCAACTGCAGTCCTAGCCTCAACTCTTGAGGAAATACAACCCAAGGGCATGAATTTGGCATCTCTCTTCCAATAGTGAAGCTGATCTGACTTTCCCTCCATCACAGCTAACTGTTCTCTATTCCTCTTACAAATTGTAGTTTAAAGTAGCTTTAATGTGAAAACTCCTGTGTTCACTAACTTCCCCTGGAAATAACTTCATGAAAAATATGGTGAGTGCTGGTCTAAACTAGATCAGATAGTCCTGGAGCACAGTTCAGAGCACAAGAATAATTTACTTAAGGACATTTGATTCTGTGTTGCTATGTGTATAAGCTTTTATTTTGTATCAACTATATACAGTTGCAAAAACTGTTTATGTATTAATCAAAATTTAAAAAAATAATATTAGAAGCGTGAAAAGGGGAAGAAGTTTGCTGTTCCTATGACTTATTTGGTACTGATGACTAATTTTCCTCCTCCATTTGCTCCCCAGATGAAATTACTGAAGCAAAATCTGGGACTGCAACTCCACAGAGATCAGGTTCTGTGAGCAACTGTAGATCCTGTCAAAAAGATTCAGATGCTGATGCACAAGGAAAATCTGCAGATATATCCCTTACACCCTCAGTGATCTCTTCACTTGATTCTTCTAAAGGTGACTTAACTCCAAGACCAGGGAGTCATACAATAGAGTTCTTCGAGATGTGTGCAAATCTTATTAAAATACTTGCACAATAATTTTGAAAATGGGCTTATTTTTTTTACAGCAATAAGCATACCTAAATCATAGTCAGATGCTTCCAGTTTTAATCAACTTAAATTAACTAAGGTGCTGAAAAAACTAACCACAGAATGCAATTTGCAGAGGGACTGGAATGATTATAGGCAGTTATGTATATTATTTTGAATCTGGAGTGAATTCTGATTGTCTGCTGTCCAATAGCATAATACAGGTACAGGAAGTCACATGCCCTTGGGGCAGTGTTCATAACACATTAGAATTCATATAATATTTAAGTTATGCTGACCTTCTTGTTTTTTTCACTGGTAATACATACATCTAATGCACTGTAAGTAAATGTATACTTACTAGTTCAATGACTTAACTATGAATTGTTGATCATCATCTATAGTTGTGCCTCAGTTGATCAGAATTGTCAGCATCTAACAGTAATATGTTAAAACTGCTGTTTCCTCTCCCTTATTTGGCAGTAAATGATATAGGATAGGTTTAATGCATTTGTCCTGGTTTTAGCTAGGGTAGAGTTAATTTCTTCTCAGTAGGTGTTACAGTGCTCTGTTTTGGTTTCAGAATGAGAATGGTGTTGATAACACACTAACGATTTTGTTTTTGCTAAGTCATGTCATAAGTCAAGGACTTTTTTTTCCCTTGTCTCATGCCCTGCCAGTGGGAGGGAGCATAGCTGGGACAGGTGACCCAAACTGACCAAAGGGATGTCCCACACCATAGAATGTCATGACTGGTATATAAACTTGGGGGAGTTAACTGGAAGGGGCTGATCTGGGTTCAGAAGGGGGGGTTTAGCATCAGTCAGTGGGTGGTGAGCAATTGCATTGTGCATCACTTGTTTGTTTCCTTTTTATTATAATTATTATTATTTACCATAATTATTTTATTTTACTTTATTTTCAATTATTAAACTGTTCTTATCTCAACATACAAGTTTTATTTCAATTCTCCTCTCCATTCTACCAGGGTGGGGGGGACAGAGGGGGGGTTGAGCGAGGGGCTGCATGGTGCTTAATTTCTATCTGAGCTTAAACCATGACAGCATTATAATGTACTGCATTTAAGAACGGATAAATTTTATTTAATCCATGCAAATCCAACCAGGTGGAAATACATGTAGGTGCTTTGTAATGTGCTAAGAGTGAAATTCTGTGGGCTGTAAGCAGAACAATTCGGGCCACAACAGTGGTGAGAGACAATGCTGAGAAGACTTGGCACTCCGTGGACTGAAACAAAATGTGCCTCTGTGAAGGAGAACTGTCAACAGATTCCTTATCTGTGCAGATTTACTAGCTCATATCTTAGCATGGTAGCAGCACATCAGCTCCCCACTGCTACTGCAGGCTGAGAATCCTGTTCCTTATAAACACATGCTTGTAGTTAAGAGCACAGCTCTAAGGCATCTTGCATGCTATTCCAGAATCTAAAATTTTCACTGTTAAAAATATGTTCATACTTTGATACAGCTGTTTATATAATATGCTAACAGCAGGTTTAGATTAGATATTAGGAAGAATTTCTTTACTATAAGAGTGGTGAAGCACTGGAACAGGTTGCCCACAGAGGTTGTGGCTGCCCATCCCTGAAGTGTTCAAGGCCAGGTTGGATGGAGCTCTGAGCAACCTGGTCTAGTGGAAGGTGTCCCTACCCATGGCAGGGGGTTGGAACTAAATGATCTTTAAGGTCCCTTCCAACCCAAACCATTCTATGATTCTGTGATTCTATGATAATTACAGTGCATTAGCTGTTTTGCATTATTTGCCTAGGCACTGTATACATACAAGTAAATTTAATCCTAATAACAGAAAAGTAATATTACCACACACTTACAGGAGATGAAGAAATTACCAGAGTTACTAAAGCATTACTTACTGACCATTCTGTGATTCTGTATTGAACTTCTCATCCACAAACATCCACAGTCCTCCCCAGGGCTAATTCTCAATCCATTCTATGCCCAACCTTTACTTGTGCTAGGTATTCAAAGTTTTTAACAGTGTATTTCTTTTACCAGTGTCATAAATCATACTGAAGTTATGGTTTTTACAATGTTTTGGGAAGAAAATTGAACCTTAAATGTTAAAATTGTAGCTAGTACTTGTGCAAAAACATTTAATCTTTTGTAAACTGGATTTAATTATCCACAGTTCCATTTTCATCTGGCACTAATAGATGTAAACATTGTACAATAAGCTATGTCATAAAACATTTAGTTTTGCATTCAACCATGATTATTCTCTTCAAAATTTCTTCATTATCTACTTTGTTTTGAAGATTGCTCTCCTGGTTAGAGACCGGAAATCAAGGCATTACTATGAACAGTGAAACTTTGACCCTGGAAATGAATGGGAGTTATTGTCAATGTCTAACTGAAAAATGCTAGCTATAGCTATAAGAATAGTGTAATCCAGGCCAACTGGTTCCAGTTATGAATATGCACAGCACAGAATTTGATGAAACTTGAAGCTACTTAAGCCCTGGAGCTCCTATAACTGTTCTGAACTGGGAGATGTTGTGGTCTGCCTAGTATGTAGGTACAAGTTACAACTTCAATTCTTTATCCTCAAGTGTCACACACTGTCCCTCTAATGCACAACTGTATTACTGTATCTCAAAGTGGAAGATTTCTGTTAAAGAAAACTTTGGATTTAAACTCCTGAGATTGAGATGTCAACATGAGACCAACTGCAAATCCTATTTAAGTGGAGGTTTGTGTTTCGTGGAGTTTAATACTGCACTCGTACCATATAACAAATGCACAGATTTTTTTTTTTGCAGTAATTCCTCATCTGGAACTGCTTTGGAATCACTGAAAGAGTTTCCTGTGTATGTTAAAGTAAATATTTGTAAATGGTATCTGGTCCTGGTTTGCAAATTTGTAATGCTGACCACAAGTGTAAGGTGTCAAGGTGCAAAAGGCTTTAATTTTTATATACTTTTTTGGCTCTCTTATGCATTAAGGCAACCATGGTTATTATTTTGTCTTGGTATGTGGAAGTTGACGTGAGTATCTGGCAAAAGTGTACTATATGCATAGCTTTATTTAAAGTAAATTTTACTGGTATGATAAATCAGTTTTGATGGACAAAAGTTTCCTGCTGGAACAGAGTTGAGGTGGGGTTTTTTTGTTTTGTTTGTTTGTTGGGGGGGGTTATACAGTGTGGGGGAGGGAGAAAGAGGGACTGACAAGCTATTTGAATCCACAGCAGTTGTCTGTTGTGTAACTTTCTTATGCTTTGTAAATCTTACTGTTGAAACTGCTTTCTTCAGATGTTCCTACTGATCTTGCAGACCATGTTTTAGTATCACACTAGTATCTACCAATAGGTTGTGAAACAAAATTTCACTGAAAAATATGCCAGGATTGTAAGGAGGCAACTTATGCAAATATACCAATTGATCTATATTCTCAAACTTTCTTCCACTGGAGCATGTTGAATTATCTTGCCTTTGTATTGTAAATTTTTTTAAAATGTGGACAAACATGATTGACCCATGTGAATTATAACTCACTAGGTAATGGTGCAATATTTTTTTTTAAATCATAGTTGTTTTGATATGAGTGTTTAATAAAAACTTGGAAATAAACTATATTTTACCAGTTGATTACTATTTTAAGATGTCCTGTTTGTTAACAAAGATGTGCCTACTACCTGTGTTGTGGGTTGGTTTGTTTGGGGGTTTTTTTCTTTCAAAGCTGAATGTCTCAAATGCTTGTTTATAACATAACAAGCCCTCAGCCCACATGGCTCCTTGTTTCCTGCCACCTCCCTGTTGATTCTGTTGGGCCTTGTTCCCAGCTGGGGTGACCTCCCTGCTGGAGGTGTCTGTCCCAGGGATGCTTTGCTTGCTGTGGAGCTGCTGTGGGGGGAACATTCCCCTGTAGACAGCCATTCAGAAAGCATTTAGGGCTGTGCAGCAGGAGGTCTGTGTGGCCGTTTCAGCTCATAGTGGTTTTGTTGTCCTAAAAGTAGGGTTCTTTCACCTGGTGTGCAAGAAGCCAATCCGCACACAGAGTCGAGTTTTTTATTATGTCTACACAAAGATGGGTACTGGGTAGTGAATCCACAAAGTTGGCACACCCTCAGTATGCCAGCTATCCATATTATACACTTCAGACAGTGAAAAATCGACATTTCCCATATGCAAAACAATCTAAAGCCATTGGCTATACATTCCTTCATCTCTGTTTAAAGATCCAGTATACAAGTATTTTACAGTGCTTGCTCTATGGGGAAGGGGCTTATGTAAGGGACAATTACAGCTGATGGGCAGATATTGTAATAGATTAATTTGTTAATGACTAAAGGTTAACACAAAGTTTAAGCAAAATTCTTTTGCTTTATCAGCAGCTTGTTACTGTGTTATCTCCTCGTTGATTTCATTTATGGTGTAATCCTGCTCTTGCTTGCTTCTCCTGTCGTGGGTCCTAGTTTCAGCTAGCTATCTACAAAGTATATTATATATGCAACAAATCCCCCCTTTGAGACTTGTTTAAAAATACTTATTTTTCTTCAAGTCTCATTTTCATGCCATTTCTTTAGCATAGTTCATTTTGTTACTCCCCTTTCTTGCTGTTCAACATCTGCTAAAAAGTTTTGCTTCATTCTTATGAGATATTTGACTAATTGTCATTCCCAAAAATCCTGCCTAGCCTTTATATATTTTGCTCCCCGTTCTTTCCTTTTTAAATCTGAGGTCATCATCATTATTTCTTGTTCTTTGTTTCCCATGGTCATTTTAGTAAAACAAAAAGAGCAACATTGACTTATAACAAAGACACAGACAAATGTTAGTATCACTATAACAATTAGTCCTATTATTCTCCTAAACCAACTCTGCAAGTCTGGTAACCAAGATGTAAGCCACTTCCATACTTCAGCAAAACCTAAGGATATATCATCACTTTGTAATTCATGTAATATTTTTACTTTCCTTATAATATTTGTTGTTATCATTTTTAGGCTTAAGCAAAAAAGTATTTTTA